CAAGCAATCAAAAAGCCTGGAATTCATGTCCATTTTGTGATATAAAAAATGAAAATAAATTTTCTAACTATTCACATTCGTGTTTTTGATTGTTTCGCCGGTCAATAGTGTATGGGGTATCGTACGCGTGAAGTATCAAGAACATACATCATACCCCTATCGTAGCACCTGATGTATTCTCCTTCTATAAATTCGTGTCTCATTCTCCGAACACGTTTATAATTTACAGCTACAATTTTAGCTGCAAAAGATGTGAACTCATTTAGAACAGTCAGAAGTGACATTGGAACCTGGAATGAATAATACAATTGACTATATTTCTTACCTGAAGAATTGGAAAACGTTGAAGATCCTTTACAGCGTCATATGGACGCAAACGTAGGTCAGTGTCTGTTTTACTCCAAATTTTCCAGAACGTCAATAGCAGAGAATCACCTCTTCTGAAACATTCTTTTAGGTGTTTATGAGCACTTTCGACACGGTTGTTTGTGTGGTTGCTCAGGCTTAATACATGTCGCCGGTAACAGCGAGCCCACATTGACTTCCGGGCAATCCAGCAATCTTTTATGTAATCATACGCTCGTGGGAAATGGATACTTAGATGTTCGTACTTCTGAGTAAATCTGAATACGGTGCGTTGTGAAAAGCGAAGCTCACATGTCAGATCTTCTAGTCTTCACAAGGTGCTCCAAGCATTTGCGTACATCAGGATTTCGGAACTACAAAAAATAATTTGTACAGCTAACACATACCTTCCTGAAAAATGCTCTCAAGACATGGAACGAACAAAGTACTTTGTTAGAATGACTGTGCGTAGAGTGCACTACTGAAATTTCGGTCGCTGCCGAATCCAAAATGAAAGTGCGTATATCGTAAGTACCGCACATTGTGTCATTAAAGCATCCCAATAGTTTTACATCTTCGCATCGTTCCTGCCTGCAAAGAGCATACATGACAGTGTGCCCTTGCCCAAGACTATCAATTACCACTAGCTAGAACAGTGGAAAACTTTAAGATAAATTTATCACTATTCGTTACTTACCCGACATTGTTGGTCTGATAAGTCGAATCAATGCATATTACCTCTGGGAATGCGCGGTAAACAGCTATTTGATCTCTGCGACTGAAGAAAATCATAGATATGTTCTCATTTTCATTGAATACTTTAACTTCAGTATTTGCTTGAACGCGCTGTAAAACGTCATTGATATTTTTAGTGTCTAAACTCAATTAATTACAATGTGAGTTGAACAAGCTGGCCACAGCTGTGGACGCATTCTGGCGATATCGTCCTTGGTAAGCTGTTTACTGAACTTCCAAGAAACCAGATACTGTAAGCTACGAGTTGGTGTATTACTCAGTAGAAACGTTCTTAAATATAAGCGTTCACTTGACGTCAACTGTCGTCTCGATGGATCGACAGAAATATATGCTTTTGTACAAGGATGGTTGTGCACGGTTTTAATAATGGTGAGTTTCAACTCACCATTTACTGCCCGAACCCTAAATCCTGATTGACAATGGCGATATTTCAACCTGAAGGGTAAATTCATTTGAAGTAAGACATACGTAGATGACCGACATCGCTTTCTGTGCCTAGGTTGTGTTGGTGAGTTAGAAGTTGTGTGTTCTTCAGAAGAATGATGATCACTATCATCATCTACATCCTGAACGCAAGCATCTGACTCTGACAAACTGCGTTTACTTCCATATGTACAGACATAACTCACAAAAAATACTTTGGAGATGGTCATCACTTTTCTTTTTACATACTGACATAACGTACTTAGTATGCGTATACTAAAAAAATAATTATTAATCACGGAAGTCATCCCAGACAACCAATAAAGGGGTAAATGCTTTGGTAGCGAAATGGGAAAACGCATCAGAATGTCGCATTTTTCGCCTGTCCGGGGGAAATAATGCGGATTTTCTCCTTTTTCGCCGTTTTGTCGATAAATTGCACTGACCATTCCCTTAAGCCACGTTCGTTCGGCTATTGAGAATTGAGGTAAACGTCCTGTGAATTCTGAATTTTAAAAAAAGAAAGTCACAACCATATCTCAAAGACATTCTTTGGCACAGCCAAATACTTGAATCCGAACTTACGGTTATGTTCGTTGATATTGTTGACTGTAACTATAGAGCCGTAGGGAAGTTATCACTTTAAATTAGTACATACCTAATCTCGTTTTCTTTTATCACGCTTTATCATCTTGTCTCGGATATTGTGAAAGCAACCTTGTGTGGCGATGTCGTACAGCTTCGCAAGGTCTTTTTCGTTGACAGAGGATGACATAAGGCGATTTGTTAACGCACCTGAAGTTTAAATACTAAAAATTAGTTACTTCGTGAAGTGCTCGTTTTGAAGAGGTGCCAAGTAACGTGAATTTACTGGCAACCTCAGGTGTCAAGAGATGCGACAGAACAAACCGCATCGATGTTTTTGGATCGTCACTTGATAACCTAGTAACCATTGCCATCTGTAATAGTAACAAATTATTAAATTCTTGTTAATGACTTACAAATCTGTCCCTGGTTTCTTTCTGCTGCAAACCAGTGTCCAGCATCTGCAGTTCGTCTTCAGATGACAAAGGGAACTGCCGACTCGAGAGGCCGCAATCGAATTGATTCGGTTTTTCGCGTTCATAAAACTTAGATAGTAATTGCTTTACATTAATATTTAAGTCAGTAATAGCCGACGATGTTGTTCATCGTTTTAGTCAAGTTAGTGATAGCTGATGACATGTTCAGCACCACTGTATACAACCTATCACAGCTGAAAAAAATCACTAGATGATGCAGGTTACTTACTGGTCCTCTATAGCACCACCAACATGCTTAGATTCCGATGTGGATGGTGATGTCTCTAATTGTGTCGAACTAATTCGTGAATATCTAAATAATAATGAAACCTACTTGGCGATTGACGATATGAGTTTGTCGAACACCCGGAATTTAGGATATTGTACGCGGCTATTCCCAGCCTGCATCTCAGCCACATCCATGTCGACTGAATTGTAAAGAAAATCTTCTTTACGCTTCATTGCAACTCTAGTAAATTTTAGTAAGATTATTGTACTGACCTCTTGGGCTTCTCACTGTTTTGTGGCAAATATGTTCTCATCCGTAGAAGTGTTTCTACGGTGAGATTCCAGTATGTGCATTGAAAGTAAAGCATCTTTTGCCGACTGCAGAGAATCTATAGTAAATTTTAGTTTCTATGGTTTGTTACTAACCGAATTCGTCAATGACTTTACATTTCATAAGTGACCGATTTTTATTCGGTTGGTCGCACTTCTGCAGGTGTATATCGACCAGCTCGTTCGGAAAAACGCAAAGTTCCTTGCCTACTATCCATTCTTTGGATGCTATCATCAGTTGTTTTTTGCTGAGGACGTCAACAATGACGTACTTCTTGTTAGCGGGCTGAAAATAACATAAGATCTAATTAAATTATTTGTCGTCATGATGTCGCGCGACATCATGGTGGCTGGCAATATGCATTGAAACGAATGAATATTAATCAAATGTGGATTACCGAACTTCTAACATCAAACTGGTCATCATTCAAAATTTATCGTCACAATCGATCAAGGTGTGAGAAAAGGAAACGTGTTGTACCAAAAATATAATGTTGAATAAAGCTTCTAATAATAACAATAATAATAATAATAAACATACATAGGAAAGGGCAACGCTCCAGAAGTATCGTCCACTGTGAGGGATGCGGGCACTTGAAGGTCAAACTGTCGCAAGATGATTGGTTCGGCGCATCGACAATTCGTGGAAATTTTCAGAAGCGGTTAAATCAAGACATTTTTAGATTTGAATTGAGCTCAGCCACACCATGTATGGTAACGTTCATTCTTCAAGTAACGAAGACGATGCTATCGTGATGATGCATGATGTAGGACGAATCTTCAATGATATTATGTTATCTCAAAGATTTACAAGGTGGGACAATTTTGAAATCTTATGTACTAGTACAAATGGTAATATATATTACCAATCAGCGCTGATTGTACCTTTTCGTATCCCGTACAGCGAAAGGTTGTAAACTTTTCATAGACGCTCCTGAACAGATTGTGCGCACAATAGACATAATGATGTGCGAAAACAAACAACAAAACAGATAACTTGATGAAATATCTAGTTCGGAGGAACAGGTAGCCTAAATATTCAAGCAGGGCGCCACTGTTACTTTGTTACCGTTTTCATTCATAGTTGAAATTTTATGCCGACAATAATCTCTTACAAGTTTTCAATTTACTTTTGTCTAGAATTATGATTTGATCCCACGGCGAGACCATAATTTATGGACGAACCAATCAGGTATAAGATAACTAGCCACGAATTTTGGCGCGAAATTCATCCATGTATTTGGCTGTATTATATAGGTTTATGTATGTTAGTTGATGGTTATGATGTGTATCTGTGGCGAATTAGTCTCTGTTCAAAAGCGTTTACTGCTTGAATTGATGGCGCGTATTTGTGCAGGGCACTACAGTATTAACCATTCAATGAGAACAGAATCCGTACCTACATTCATCCACTGGTTGACACTAAACTTATATGTATTGGCCTTGGACTTGATTTGTTTCTGTTGAAGCAAATAATGGGATGTACCAAAACACAGGTTATTATTCAAGATATTAAATGGGACCACCTGGGTTTTTACGGCGGGATAGAAATAGTAGCTTTAGTCGTTTCAATCTCATCATGACTAGTCGGGGTTTCGAAATCCCTTAAGGGATGATACATTTCAGTCCTCAACCGTCTTAGAAATCATAGGTCGCGAGTATCCTCAGGTTCTTTTGTTTCAGAAACTTCGACAGTGAAGTCGTATCAATCGTGTGGTGGTGAATATTATTGTGAATGGTGTGCATTAGTGCACTTTTACTGAGATTTGTTTTTGAACACCAATATTTTGACAATCTTGCCGATTTACTTAGATGTGTCTGCAGTTTTAGCCTACCAATGTTAGTATGTTCGACCTTACTGCTTCTTCGAATCCGTAGTTTTTAATCCAAGCTTATAATATGCTTGCTATTCTGAAGTTAGAAGGCTTCATCTTAAAACCAGACTGGGACATGTGGAAGGTATCTTATTGTTTGCTATGCAGTGTGGGAACATTTTTTGGGACAAAAAGCATCCTCTCTAATAGAATGTTAGAATCTATTTTTTGGAGTATAGTAGGCTTTTGGCTGCGCCAAACATCCACTGATTTTGATTTATGGACATATATCAAATAAATTATTGCTCTACTTCGTATGTTGTTCAGGAAATCCATCTCAGTTTCCTTTTTCCAAAATAGTTTACGTCATGGTTTTATCCGAGGGCATATATGCAATTTCTGGGCTGCATTAGAGATCAAGTATGTGGTTTTGCGTAAAACAAATACAGGCTCATTCAGTGGCCTTCAGTACGCATTTCTAGGTTTTACAAACCAAAGCATATTTTCAGTTCGATGTATTTGTGTCATATCCTAACGATAAAAATGAATGAGTCATCGAAAGGCAATTTGAAGCATTCTTATGTATTGTTGACTAATTGCTCCAAACGCTTAGATTATCCATGGGTAATTTTCTTGATAATTTTTCGTGGTTAAGTTGTTTCATTCACCCTTGTGAAACCTGCACTTTAAACTCTCATTGTGGCAAGAAAACTGTTGTTTAAAGGGTTTCATTTCAATATGGAGCAATTTAGTCACAAAGTGAAATTACATCGCGATCTTCATGAGTAGCTATTGCTAAAAGGATAGTGTAAATGAAAAGTCGTAGACTCGAATAGCTGTCTGAATGTCTAATTTTCCAACTACACCAACCTTAGAGTCCAGAATATTTATTTTGGTTGTGTAAATCATTACTTTGTTCACTCTGTACGGTTTTTTCCTAACTTTAAAATACGCTTTACTAATTGATCTGTTGGTGTATTGTACGCTCATTTTTATTGTTCAATCTCCTACTCTATATAGTTTGGGACCATACACTCTTGTCTATCTTTAACTTGACAACTGTCATTTCTGTTTTATAATCACTACCGAATATTCAAGTTGTTCTTATTTTATTGACATTACAGCTATTAGACAAGAAAAGATACAATATTGTGGTTCATTTTACCATGACGTTTGTCAATCTGCTGTTGAAGAATACAGGCAGGGTTAATTTCGTTCGATTTTCTCACATAAGTCGCTCAGTAATTATTCTTTCATACTTTTAATCCATTTTACTCATCATGAAGGTACCACTTAGTAAATTTGAAGACAAAACCCTAGATTATGATAAATTGGAACACAATCTAAATATAGTGAAAGATCGGTAATGAGTGATACGATTTCTGATGTTATTTATAGACTTGGACATCCGTTAACACTAGCCGAGAAAGTGTTGTATTCTCATCTTGACAACCCAAAAACTGCAGTAAGCACTTTTTTCCAAAAAGATTTCTCTAAATTACTTTTAGAATATTGAAAGAGGTAAAAGCTATCTCATGCTTAGGCCCGATCGTGTTGCAATGCAAGATGCTACAGCACAGATGGCTCTATTACAGTTTATTAGCAGTGGTCTTCCACGTGTCGCTGTACCTTCAACTGTCCACTGTGATCATCTTATTGAGGCTAAAGATGGTGCAGGAACAGATCTTAATCGTGCGAATGATACCAACAAGGAGGTTTACGAATTTCTTGCATCTGCTTCGGCTAAATATGGGATTGGATTTTGGAAGCCTGGATCAGGAATAATTCACCAGGTAATTGTTATTTGATGTCTTTCTCCAAATTATTATTCTCCTGTATTGTTCATTTGTCGAATAAACTAAGTATTGTGTGATAAAATCGATCGGCAGTTACAGGATGTGCGGAAAAACACAATGCTTCATAATTAATCCATCCAGTTTACAAAATTCAACATTAAAATGTTCAGTACATTTGATTATCATTCTCAAAGGCTTTCAAAAGTTACATCTTATCCAAGAATGAGTGATATATACAGATGGAGATTATTGCTCAATAAGTCTTTGCACTTGGAAGTTTTAGATTTGGGTTAACAGATACTGTAGTCAAGTTCAGAAATCTCTCCATTCACACTAATTAATGCATTCACCTCAATATTTTAAACTCAATATTCGAATAATCTGAACTTCTTTCTCCAATTAAGGTTTATTCTCAATAATGCTGAAAGGCAGTTTTTTCTAAGGATGATATTATTTCACTTGTATAGTTTACTGAATATGTCGAGGTGATTATCGGTCATTTGTAAAATGTTCATAATTTTTCTAACAATAAAAATAGGTTTGAATCAAAGTACATGTAGGTGTTCTGTAGATGAGATTTTCACTTAGAATCTTTCAACATAAACTGAATTCAATCGTCCGTTTCTTGTGTTGATTCGTTCATACTCGCAAAATCAATCATATAGATTATGTTTTGTAAATATACTGAAATAAAATAGCGTTAACCATCAAACTACAGACTTCGAATCCAACATAAATCCAGTCTTACATAAAACCTGTTAACTTTCGATTCGATCCCATGAGGATTATTACAATTCATACTGTTAAATTCCAGTTTAATTTATGGTGGTTTGCTTCATCCCATTGTTGGTATTTTGGTCGACATTTAATCAGTCTTGGTTGCCACAAGTGAGTGGCTAGGTGAATAACATGTCGGCATTTAAAGCGAACGGTATTGGGTTTGAGTTCTAGAGAGGAAATCAACTCTGTCTTTTTAGGTACAGTCAGTCAGTCAGCTACAACGTAGGACCAGGCACATATGTGCATCGGTCCAGGTTGCCATACCGCATCAGCACAACAAGATGAACACCGGATTCATAACAGTGGTTAGGTCAAAGGTGGTAATATATAAGAGAAAGATTGCATATAGAGATATATTACAAGCAGAAAGAATTGGTTCGTAGAAAGAAAGATATGAAGTGATTTTAATCTCTTAGATTAAGGGAAGACAGGGAGTGTATACACCGACGCCATTGTGATAGATTCTGAGCCATGTCACCAACAGTCTCCAACCATTGATTACGAAAGTCACGCGGACCCCAACCAAGTAGTCTGCATCTAACAACATGGCTCAGACTAGAAGTTAGTGACTTCAAGCACTGATGCCACGTTTTGGTTTGGCCGCCCCTAAATTTCTTCCAACCATGTTCAACATCGGTTAGCATTGCACGTCGTAGTAATCGGTGTTCAGGCATACGTAACACGTGGCCCAACCATCTCAGTCGATGAAGATTCATAACCTCATCAACTGATTTACCATCATTTCCTAATACCCTGCGTCTGACCTCACTATTACTTACCCGGTGATCCCAGCAGACGCCAGCAATATTTCTAAGGCATCTGTGGTCAAATACTAGTAGCTTACGAGTGTCGTCTACTCTTAATGGCCATGTTTCGCTGCCGTAAATTAAAACAGAACGGACTGCCGCGCAGTATACTCGTCCTTTTATTGATAGAAGGATATCTCGCCTTCGCCAAAGGTGACGCAAGTTGGCAAAAGCCAATCGAACTTTTCGAATCCGTGTTGAGATTTCGTCAGACACCAACCCATTAGGGCTGATCAGACTTCCAAGATATGTGAAGTTGTCAACGCGTTCGACTACTTCACTCCCTATCCTTAGTTCAGGTGTTGACGCAGACCAGTCCTGAAGCAACAACTTGCGTATAGTGGGAGAAAAGCGCATTCCAAACATTCTGGCATTGTTGCTTAATGCTACCAAAAGACTCTGCATTTTGTCAGCGTCTTCACCAAACAGGACTATGTCATCTGCATATTCTAAGTCGTTAAGTGGACCTCCTGGATGGAGATTGATACCCGAGAACTCAGTCGACGAAAAAGTTATTTCCATCAGTAGATCTATGATGAAGTTAAACAAAAATGGGGAAAGTGGACAGCCTTGACGGACACCACTTGAGGTTTCAAAAGTAGATGACAGTTCGCCATAAGCTCTGACTCGACTAGTAGTGTTCGAGTAAAGAGCCTTTACAAGGCTTATGTACTTCTGGGGTACGCCTTTCAGTGACAGACACTGCCACAGAATCTCGCGGTCTACCGAGTCAAATGCTGCTTGTAAGTCGAGAAAGACCATCATTGTCGGACGCCGATAAGTATGCCTGTGTTCTAGAATCTGACGAATGGTGAATATGTGGTCAATGCAGCCACGACCAGATCTGAAGTCAGCTTGGTTCTCTCGTGTTTGCACTTCACGAGTCTTAGTTAGGCGTTTGATAATTAACGAGGCCAGTATTTTAGATACTATGTTTGTTAAACTAATCCCTCTGTGGTTGTCACAGGATGATTTTGACCCTTTCTTATATATTGGGACGATAAGTGATTGCGACCAGTCAGATGGGATAAAGTCTAATTCCCAGATTTTAGCTAAAATATTAGTCAACCTAATCGCTAAAATTGAACCACCATCCTTAAAGACCTCTGGAGCCAATCCATCTGGACCAACTGCCCTTCCTCGTTTCAGATTAACTATAGCCTTTTGGACTTCTGCTAGAGTTGGAGAACCTACTTTAATGTTCCATTCACACTGTCTGGGAATGGAGGGTAGTTGTAGAGTAGCCGAAGGCCAGTTGAACTGTTCTCCGAAATGTTCCGCCCATCGTTCTAAACGTCTGGACTGGGAGCAGATGAAAGTATCATCTTTTTCCGAAATAATCTCACTTACACTTGACTTATTAATTCCAGTTTCTTTTATTAGTCTGTAAAGCTGTCTTGTGTTCCCTATAGTCGCCGCCTTTTCCATCTCTTTTGCTTTAATTGCCCACCACTGCTCACGGTCGTTTCTTAGACTTTTTCTTAACCTAGATCTGATTTCTTGTCGCTCTTCATCATGTTCGGAACCTGATGGGACGAGTTTGCGGGAACCCATCAGTGTGATAGACTTTGAGGAAATCCACTGGTTCTTTGTAACTCTGTGGTTTAAGTCGCTAATAGATGTCACTGCTGTTTCCACAGCTGCTTGTATGTTTTTCCAAGCAACATCTGGGTCAGCCTCGTCTTCAGAACTACCTAATTGTGAACTCAGTTGTTCCTGGAACCTACTTTTGCTTTTCTCGTTACTCAACTCAGTCCTAATGGGTCTTTTTAATGTGGTTTTTTGCGTCCAGTGAGGCGCAAGCAGATGCGTGCCCGTATTAGGGCGTGGTCGGAGTCCAAGCAGGTACTCCAGAATGAGCGACAATCTTGTACCAACCCTCTCCAACGATGACTGATAGCAATATAGTCTATTTGAGTCCATCGTTGGTTTGGTGTAGGGGGCCGCCATGTTAGACGATGTCCCTCCTTATGCTTAACATTTGTGTTTGCTAAAAATAAGCGATTGTCTGAGCACAGTTGCAACAGACGGTCACCATTATCTGTTCGCTGTGCCGGAACACTAAAATATCCACCTAAATGCCTTTCTGTTTGGTTTAAGCTACCTATCTGAGCATTAAATTCACCCCCTATGAGTACTATTGTTATGACTCAAAGCAGACAGCCGATTATATGACAGTGACTTATCGATCGGATCAAGGGTTCAGAATCTCGATAGTCTATTCTGGTCCGTTGTCCCCAACTCTGCTAACTCGATCAAGAAGTCTGGGTAAGGTGTAGAAAGTGTATTCTACAGACAAACAGCAGATAACAAGTCAGGCAGGCAGATCAGATCAAGCATACAAGTCAAGCGTATTTATACAATTATTTACAATCGATAGAAAATTTTTAAACATTAATCAATGAGTTCATTAATTGACCTATTTGCGCATTTAATCGATAGTTCATCAATTGACCCCAATAAAAATATCTAACATTTAATCGATAAGATGATCGGTAAGATAAAATTTAAAATATGAGTTTGGGGATCTATCGTCCCCAACACTCCTCCCCTTTTTTGGAGATCCGGAGTTGATATCCGGATTTTAAATTTTTCTCGCGTCTATCCTCCCCCTCTAAATAATGTTGGGTCTTCATAAATCCAAATTACAATTAATTTGATTGTCTTTAAAACATATTGCACAGGGAATGCAGTAAAATCGATCAGATATTGAGGATAAACGCCATCCAATTCGAAGTCATCAGGGTTTAAATCTTTAGTAAGTAGTGGATCATTATGATAATCGGCGTCCAACAAAACTGTACCAGGTTCTTGGTTATTATTTGATGCGTGGAACACATTTTCTGGCAAAACAATGAGATCTTCTCGTGAGCTGGATACGTTGCTGTCTGCACATGCTGTTTCGGGGATAACGGAGTTCGAATCCATTGGCGGGCATGTTTCTGAAATGGAAAGTTCTGGACCACTGGGCGCATCATGGATGACTGCCGTTCCGTTTGAAGTACAGTTAATCGAGGATTCATGGAGGCTGCTGTCATTTTCCAGCTCACTGTGTAACTCAGATATCAATCCATCCACTTCCGTCGCATCTTCATAGCATGACTGACTTAGCAGCTGTGTGCGGAACTTGACTAATAACTCCAAATGTCGTTCAAAGAGCAGCTGCAATCGATCGGAAGGGAGTGTCATTTTTTTGGATCAGCACCAGCAATGAAGATTACTGTATGAATAATGACCAATGTCGTTCAGGGACACTGATGACAAACTGGATACTGATTGATTGAATAATTAGACTGGATTTTGTCCAAATACAGAATGACTTTGTATTGTATTTTTTTTTACCCCGTCGCCAATTGTTATGACTCAAAGCAGACAGCCGATTATATGACAGTAACTTATCGATCGGATCAAGGGTTCAGAATCTCGATAGTCTATTCTGGTCCGTTGTCCCCAACTCTGCTAACTCGATCAAGAAGTCTGGGTAAGGTGTAGAAAGTGTATTCTACAGACAAACAGCAGATAACAAGTCAGGCAGGCAGATCAGATCAAGCATACAAGTCAAGCGTATTTATACAATTATTTACAATCGATAGAAAATTTTTAAACATTAATCAATGAGTTCATTAATTGACCTATTTGCGCATTTAATCGATAGTTCATCAATTGACCCCAATAAAAATATCTAACATTTAATCGATAAGATGATCGGTAAGATAAAATTTAAAATATGAGTTTGGGGATCTATCGTCCCCAACAACTATGTCTGAGCGTTTAGCTTTCTGAAGAAGTTCAGAAAGCTTTCTGTAAAATTCATCTTTCACTTCATCTGAGCTGCAGTCAGTGGGAGCGTAGGCAGAAACGACAAAAAGGCAACGACTTGTGTCCCTATCCTTCCGAGTTCTTACGGAGCCGTTTAGCCGAACAGCACATAGACGACTGTTGACGGGGATCCACTCTAGCATTGCTTGTTCCGCCCTCATGCTTAGTGCTATGCCTACACCTGCCAGTCCACGAGAACTGGCCATCGGGTCACCAGATACACGGAGGGTGTATCTCGTTGGCTCTCCGTTTTGCCGAGGTGAGGTCAAGTGAATGACCACACTGAAATCCTGTATGCGTGTTTCGGAGACACAGCATACATCAATGGAAAGAGACTCTAGGGTTTTAGCCAAGGAAGCCTGCTGACCGATTTGACATAGAGTGCGTACGTTGAAGGCTCCAATGTGTAGTTTGGAGCGAGGTTTCAGTAGACCTGGGACAGATTTTTGAGCACTAGAATCGTTGGCTATGGTGACACTTGAGGAGGAAGCCGGAAGAGGAGGTTTAGAGTTGAAAGTCGATGTAGGAGGATGTTATAACGTGAAAAATATTTGCTGCTGATTCAGTGTAGCAAATTATTGATCGGACTAAAGACGCGCAAACACGTAGAACGACCTAGGGTTCTGATTGGTCTCGCTTCCCTGTATAGCCCAGCCAATTGAGTCCAGAACGCAAGTCACAGCCTCGGATATATGAATCATTATATTTCAAACATACTTTGTTTATATACCAGTCAAGCAGACCACAACGTACCATAAAATAGAAAATAACATTGTACAATAATGGCCAGTAGGAAAATGACACGTTAAACAAATATTAACCAATAAGATGATACCATTCCATGTCCAAGGATAGCATTAGGCTTAACAGTATAATTTTTGGGATATTTTCCTGAATATCCCAACAGAGGAATAATAGGAATTGAAGAGGAAGGTTGATTATGAATACAGCGGTCTTGGGTGCTGTTAGAGGTATGAGGGCGGTTACCACTTCCCGGTTGCCCACACCGAGGAAGGGTTCTTCTGGAGGTACCTGAAAAGGAAATTGGATTAGAGGCGGTCTCAGTGACCTGAGAGCGTGACCGCAGTGCCCAAGGGACAACTGCTTAAGGCCGGTCGCGCACGGCCTTTTCGTGGGAGGTTTTTGACGTGTTAGTTCCGTTCTTCAAAGGGCCTTACCGCCGGAGGTGGAAATCCGTGAGGTAAGGTGAGGTGTGACATTTTAAGGGTCGACCTTTTCTAACCCCACCCCTCCTTGTGGGAAGGCAGCATCGCTGTCATGCTGGTTGTCTGAAGGAAACACCTTACTGCTGTCACACCTCTGTACAGTCAGCAGTACGACTTCGCCTTCGGACCTTGGGTTTGTTGCTTTTAGTCTTACCGCTCTTCAACCGACCTGTCTGACATGGTAGGACCTTGAGGAACGGTTGTTCCAGCCAATATAGCTCGGTTGCTTCATTACGATAGGCAAGCCCGACCACCACGTCAAGGTAGCAACAACGGTCGGGCTTTTCAGGTACTCTAGCTGGCAAATCCCAAATGGGACAAAACATCCTGAATTTCGCTGCTAGTCATATTTCATCTATTCTATATTATACAATTGAAGTGTTTTAATAAAAAAAATCAACTGTCCAACACTTTTTCAAAATAATTGTCTATCTGGCATTTTCCCCTGCAGATTGTTTTAGAGAACTATGCATTTCCTGGTGCATTAATCATTGGCACCGACAGTCATACACCTAATGGTGGCGGACTTGGTGGTTTGTGTATTGGTGTTGGTGGTGCAGATGCTGTGGATGTAATGGCTAATTTACCATGGGAGTTGAAGGCCCCACTAGTGATTGGCGTACATCTAACAGGTAAATTATCTGGTTGGACAAGTCCAAAAGATATCATATTAAAGGTATGATCATTATATATTTTTTAAGGATTAGTTTTGTGTAAATTAGTTTTACATGTAATATTTTGTGCTAAAATATAGCCTACTAGGTGGCTGTAAAACAGAAATAATGTCCAAACTCAATCCTCTTTACTGTTAAGACTACAGCGCAAAGAAGGGAACGCTAAAAGCAAGGGCTTAGCAAATAATTATATTAGAATAGGAGGATTCGTGAAGATTATTGAATTTTCGTGCTTTAAGTCACGAACCGATCGTTGTTAGATCACCATTAAAAATTTGGAAGTACGCGCACGAGACCAAAGGTTCTGGGTTCAACTTCCATGAGCAGGAACGTGGATGTACATTACCAAGGAGTGCTATACTAAAACGAAACGGCCGTCCAGTACTTCCAGGTTTTCAATGGTGGTCTAAGATCACTTGGTGGTGTAAACTATGAGAATAATTGTATATTTCAAAGAGTGAGATATCCCGGTTCTGAATTAGATAAATTGCAAATATATACAGATCACTAACACAATAATCCATTAATTCAAGTCTTTTACATTTAAAACTACAGTGCAAAGAAACTAGGAAAAAAAGTGGCATTCAGGCAAATATCAAAAGTGAAATTCTAAAGAATAACAGTTTAAAAAATGATAGGTTCCACCAGTCTCAAAGTTAGGTAAATGATAAATGTATCAAATAAACCATCATTGATCTTGACCAGTCTCTTATGGTTTTAAACGAATTGATGGTACATTCTGCTTAGACAGTGCCAACAAGATAATTTTAATTAGATTAAATGGCGCAAAAGTAGTCATAATGGTGTAAATATAGTGGTATTTATTTTCTCCTAGATTATGAGTTGCAATAATATCTTGATGTTAACTTTACGAACTCATTACTTATTTTCAAACTTCATGATATCTTTAGTTTTTTTAATACTATTGGTATTACTATTTAGACCCCTTTGTTATTCATGTTAATTTCACCTCATCTTGTTGATTTAGCATCGGAGCTTATTTGAGATATTTACTGAACTCAATAGCACCAAATCAACCTGTTTTTATAAAATTTCCTGCAAATGGTTATCTTCAGACTTTTTGTTAGCTTAATTTGCCTCTTTACTCATGTTGGTTGCCATTTTCGATTTATCTCTAACCATGCTATGATTAGCTAACCTTTACCGCATAGATTGGTTAGTAAGATCTCATTTTGGACATCAGGCCAAGAAAACAACCTATCGCTGCGCAGGTCTACTTACTTAATTTGTTTTACTTTACTTACTGTTACCTCATCGAGGAGGAGCATATGTTTCACACCAGGATTCTCCAGCCATCTCTACTGTGAGTTCTCCTTTACGATTGTTTCCAGTTTCTATTCATTCTTTTGATGTCTCCTTTCAACTCCCGACATAATGTGTTCTTTGGTCCACTTCTTTCACTTTTGCCCTCAGTACTCTAAGTTAGGATTTGGTTCATGATGCAGTTTGATGATTTCTGCTATGTACGTCCTATCAACCTTCACCGTCTTTTCCTAATTTCCTCTTCAGCTGGAATCTGGCTTGTTCTCTGTCACAGTGGGTTGTTGCTGATGGTGTTCGGTCAACGAGCATTGAGTATCTTGCGCAGACAATTGTGTAGAAATACCTGTATATTCTTGTTGATGGCTGTGGTTATTCTCTAAGTTTCAGCGGCATACAGTAGAACTGTCCTGACTTTCATATTGAAGATTGTAACTTTGATGTTGACTGACGGTTGTTTTGAGTTCCATATGTTCTTCAACTGTAGGAATGTTATCCTTGATTCGCCAATCCTTACCCTTGCATCTGCACCAGATCGTCCTTGTTTGTCGATGATGCTACCTAGGTACTTGAAACTTTCCACCACTTTCAGAGTTTGTCCATCATGTGTGGTTGGTTTGGTGCTGTGTATTGTATTTCAGGATCCCACTTTTTACCCTGTGTACGATGAGACCTGATGTTGCAGAATCTGCTGCTACATTGGCTTTCTTTACCTGTTGTGTGTGTATGGGATAGAAGAGCTAGGTCATCTGCAAAGTCCAAATCATCTAGTTACATGTAAGCTGTTCATTGTATTCCGTGCCTCCTCTGAAACATGGAAGTCTTCATAATCTTATCGATTACCAGAAGAAAGAGGAATGACTAGAGTAAGCAGCCTTGTCTAACTTCGGTCCTCACTTGGAATGCAGCTGTCCTTCATGCACGACTTTGCAGTGTAATCCGTCGTATGAATCCCAGATGGTGACGATTTTCTCAGATACACCATAGTGTCGAAGATAGATCCATAAGGTTTTCCTATCCATATTGTCATATGCTTTCTTATGATTAAGGAATTTGACATATATTGATGAGTTCCATTCAATTGATTACTCAGCAATGATCCGTAGTGTCGCGATTTGGTTTGTACATGATCGATCCTTACGGATTCTAAACTGTTGGTCTCGAAGCTGTGCGTCTACTGAATTTTTCGTCCGCTTCAACAAGTGTTAAGAACGTTTTTGGATACTGATAGTAGTGTAATGTCTCTGTAGTTCTCACACTTACTCAGATCTTTCTTTGGTGTTTGTATGAGGTGTCCTTTCCAATTTGTTGGAACTTGTTCTTCCTCCCAAATGCTTCTGAATAGAGTGTGGAGCACCTTCTCAGTTACCTTTCTGCCTGACTTCAGTGCTTCAGCTGGTAGGTTATCAGGTTCCTCTGATTCCTCACTCTTGATTTGTTAGGTGACTATGCCGTTTTCTCGGATTGTCGAAAGCTGCATAAAATATTACCGTTTATTGATCTGGACATCTTCAGTCATCATCTGTTCAGCCAACATGACATTTCAGGGTAGACGGTGGCGGTTGTTCATGCCTAACAAATATCTTGACTACACTAAAAAATACTTGCTTCTAAAACGTCGTTTAGTTTGTTATTTTTATCTGCGTCGCTGAATGCTTTATCTAACTAACTAGTTTTCGAATTCGAAGTTCGAATATATTCCCTTTTTTGTGATAAACACCTCTCCCTAACTCAAACCTAAATCTTTTCATTATAATCAAAGTTAGTAAACATAAGTGAATAAATAACAAAAGTTTACTTTTTCCATTGGTAAACTTATTCGACAGCTACAGACTTGTGTACTTGATTTTGATTCAAATTCTAAGCGCGCAGACTAGTGATACCTATACATGGATTACGCCAGTCGAAATGAATGGAGCGAGGTTTTCACCTACGGTTCAGTGGCTAAAATTGAAAACCTTTAGCTAATATTGAGTTAATGCTCCAAATGTGAAATATATTTGTTTTGTTACTGTAATTTCACATCTCATTTCTTATGCAATTTTTTAGGTAGCTGAAATCCTAACAGTGAAAGGTGGAACTGGAGCCATCGTTGAATATTATGGTCCTGGTGTTGAATCGATTTCATGCACCGGTATGGCTACAATTTGTAATATGGGCGCTGAGATCGGTGCTACAACATCAATTTTTCCATTTAACGATCGAATGCTGGATTATTTACGTGCTACAAATAGAGCGGATATAGGAGATTTAGCTTCGAAGCATAAGGTGATCGATCATTTCAGAGCTAACCTTATGTATATATAATGAAATTTACTTTACTTAAAAATAACATTTCTAGTCTATGTCATTGTCGGTAGTGATATATGAACTCGATAGCCCAGTGGATAACGGGTTAGGCATTTGAAACGGAAGGTTACTTTGTTCCAGTCTTTATAGGAATATCAACAAGGGGGTACAGTTGGCGAGTCCCAAATAAGATGAAACACGTTTCCTGGTTTCTAATGCTGACCAAAACTCTATATATCCCGCAAAAAAAAACAGTTTTAGTTATTAATATGATCTGAAATGTACTTCCACTAATGCATTTTGGTTGTGTTGCATTCTGATTTCTCTCTATTCAGGCTTCTTTACTTACATCAGATGTAAATTGTAAATATGATAAAATAGTTGAAATAAATTTGGATACCTTAGAACCACATATAAATGGTCCGTTCACACCAGATCTGGCACATCCAATTTCACAAGTGAGTCTCCGTATATCCTAATTTTCATTCCTAAATGAATTATGTTTTTTACATAGTATTGTAAACGGTAATATTTATCACGAATAGATGTTAGAGAGTTTTTGGAAACCCATAGAGTACTGGATACGTCTATTTCGTCTTCCTTGTAATTCTTTGACATTGCACACTCATTACTCCATATCCATATTGAATAAAAGACTTTCGATTATCGCTCTGGGTAGTGCCTAATACTTCCAAATCACTCGGTTGGAATCCAACTCCAACCAATACTCTATGTAAGTATAATCCTCAACCAATTATTACAATGCTGTAGTATTGTTTTATCACCTGCAAAAAATTGTATCTATAATTAATGGTACACGTAATGTGTTGTGTCATGAAAAAAAGTTAAATACTAAATGATATTGGTCCATGGTACCAGTTCATTAAAGTCCATAGAATTCCATCTAATAGATATTTGGGAACTAAAATGCCTTTATTAGTTGTAGAGTCTAACTTTGTTGCCGTAAACTTTAATTAGTACTAAACTGACACCGATACATACTCATTATGTTACTTGAAATCTTCATCAGCTTGTTATTCTGACTGCCACTCAATTTTTACCGAGTTCAAGTTTTATGCACTCAACTATGAGATACACTTTCATTTATGTGTTAGCTAGTCATACTGCCAGGTAGGTTGCCAGAACCGAAGTTACTGGAGTGGAATTCGATCCTGTGAACTGTCGGTTTATGTTATGATGAAAATAATAATGATATTATTAAATGAAAAAATAACCCAACTAGTAGAGATTACTATAATGTGAGCTATATACGTATATTGATTAATAATCTTTGCAGTTTGTATAAAATACTACCGAAGATTTTTTCCCCAATATTTTATAGATCAAAGTACTCATATTAATTAACATATGTAATATTCGTTTGGAATTGTACAGATTATGTATGGTATCATTAAAATGATAAGCAATTATTTGCTGGTTTTTTCCTCGTTTCTATAAAATAATGAGGATTTTTTCAAAGCCATAAATTTTATACATCATGTACATGCATCACTCTTCACTCTATTCAGATCGAGTCAACTAGTTATAAATACCTGGTTATAAGTACCTGTATTCAAACACCTCAACCAGAGGAGGAAAATAACTACCTCTCCCTATTGTTTCATCCGAAGAGTGGAGTCAGACAGAGTTCCTCGACCTTACTGTTCCTCTTCAACTTTGCCATCTTTTAAACTCTGGAAACAGCTCCGATGGAAGCGTATTTTTGTGATGTAAATCTGTCACCTAGAGAAGGACTTCTATCTGGGGTATACAGACGATATTACCTTACTTGTACCATGATACCCAAGCCTTGCAATTCACACTTAAGCAGTTGATAACCAGTATTCATAGGTTTAGTATGTACTTTTTGCCTTCTAAATGCAATGTAATTTTATAAGACTGGCAGGAGCCTGTCCCTTGGTAGCGAGCAGTTAGAAGTAGTTGAAAAGGTCGTGTATCTGGGTAGCCATGTGAGTATGGGTAAGGACGTGGTTGGTATGGTCAGCTTAACTAAAGTGAAAGTTGAAGCGGGTCATGCCAATCTGGGCCATCTTTGGCTCCATCGTAATGTTGTTAGTCTGGCTGCAAAAGGTCGGGTTTACAAGGTGTCAATAAAAGCAATTTAACCTCATGCTTGTGAAACTTGGCCTGTTGTAGTTGAAGATATTCAGTAACTCGGTATCTGACCATCATTGTTTTCGAAAGATTGCTGAAGTCCAGTGGCAACACTTTGTTAGTAATTCTGAGGTTCGAAAATTTTTGTTCGGGTACATTGACGATAACTCAATTAGTATCAAAGACTTTAGTGGTTTGAACATTTGCTATGAATGTCATCCCAGCGGATTTCACATCGTGCATTGTTTGCCAAGGTCGAAACTGGTTAAAAAAATCGGAGAGGTGGTCACTCTGTGACATGGTACCGGAATATGAAACAAAATTGTACAGGACCAACATTTGTAATTTGCTTTTACTTCATAAAAGAGAAAAGGACTTCTCCAACTGGGAGAATTCTTTTGGGTTGTATTTTTTCATTTGAAATGCTTCTCTCATTATCTAATACTCCCATTCACTTAGTTTTACCCATTTGTTGCTTTTTTCTGCTTTATATTCACCGTCCTTCAATCTCTTCTTACTATGTAGTGCTTTTTTTGGTGCCCCTTTGTATCAATATTTTCTTATCTAGATAATAATAATGATCCGTGTAAAACGATTTAATGCACCATGCTTTTTAATTTACGTTAGTGAAAGTGTTATGTATACTGTTTTAATGTTAGCCAACCGAATCATCAACAAAGAGCGAACCATTTAGCTTGCATATATATTATGAACTGCACAATTATTAACTATCTCATCCATTATTCACTATTAACCGTAAATATTTTAAAAAGATGTAATCTACTGTGAGGTACGTAATCAAATAGAGCCATATTTATCCAACTTTAAGCCAGACTTTCTTATGTTTGATTTGGTGATACCATTTCTCAAATATCTATCCAGACTAAACTGGATAAAGTGGGATTCGAACACTTGGTTTATTTATTGAAAATCGAATGTTTTAACAACTAAGTTAACACTTAAAATATTTGTACTAACAGTGTTCAAATTATCTGTGTTTAGATATCTTTTTTTCAGTACTTATTTCACGTGTTTTTGTTTTCTTGATCAATAAGTACTGTTTTGTTCTTTCTACTAGTTGGACAATCAGTCATTTGTTGATTGTCAAGTGATTTTCGCATTCCTTTACAACAAATTAATGCTACATTTCTAACTTATTGTAAATTCAACAAAATATTACTAATGTAATTATGACCATTGATCTACCGTACTGATTGTTTTAGTATAAAGTGCAAGTGTTCATAAGTAAAACCAAAATCAATATATATTCCTCAAATCTAACTGTCCTTGTTTAAGTAATGCCCATCATATATATATATATATTCCCAGGGATAAATCACCATGTGTTATTATGAAGCAAATTCTTCACCTCCGATATAGTTTCATGTCACTGATCACTGCTCCTTACCAGAACCTTGAGAAACTCATTTTGATCTCTGATAAAAGTGACGATTTGAATCACGGCCAATCAAATATTTAGGTTAAATATACTTGAAAGGTGCTAGTACGGATGCATTGTTGGTTAGAATTTGATCTTACTTTTTAAGGAAATAAAAATCTGACTTTTTCTGGGGAAGCTGTATTTAATGTCAAAGTTTTTATCCCTAATGAATAGATCAAATCCTTTAAATTAAATTTTAAAAAAATATTAAGAATTTGGTCGTCTAATATGTGAGCCACCACAGAATTTAAGATTAGTATCTTAGTTAACATACAATGAAACAGATTCAACGAAATAATCAAAACCCAATAGCTAAAACAAATTATGAAAAAATTCTTATATTGTAAATTTAGAACAAGATATATAAGCGAAGAAAAAACTAGTACACCTGTCATCACACTTGTACTTTTCACTGATTGTGTAATCTTTTCCATTGTTATCATTGACTCACAAATTACCTTGATTGATTTAATAATTTCGTATATGCATATAAATATTACTGTATATTCGAGTAAAGCCTGATGAGGATCTAATCTAAAACAAAATAATCAAATAACAACTTCAACCAGATCAAAAGATGAACATAATCACACATTAATGCATAGAGTTAAGCGATTAGGGGAGTGGATAACTTTACGCATAAGGAGAAACAAACAAATCATACATGAAGCGATTTTCTAATCCATACACGTATGTATGTTCAAAAAAGATTTTACACAGTTTATTTAATATTTGTTGACTGTTATACATACTGTTATATTATTGTTATTCTTATTAGCTATCCAGTCATGCATCCAAAGCAGGTTGGCCGCTGCATATCAGTGCTGGACTTATCGGTTCCTGTACCAATTCATCTTATGAAGATATGGCACGTGCTGCCAGTTTAGCTCGTCAAGCTTTAGATAAAGGTGTTAAAATTAAATCACAATTCTTTATAACACCTGGTAGTGAACAAATTCGTGCAACTATTGAACGTGACGGTATCACGAAAATATTTCAATCTATTGGTGGTGTAGTATTAGCTAATGCATGTGGTCCATGTATTGGTCAATGGTCTAGAAAGGTAAGTAAATTACTATCTTGGGAGGGGGCATTTCCTCTCCAATCCCTCACACAAAAAACTGGTAATTCCAAATAATAATAATAATAGTGATGATAATAATAATAATAATAATAATAATAATTATTATTATTATTATCATAAGCCATGATGGATGGTGGCTAGTTAGTTATTTTACTTATTATTGAACAGATGTCATTGATAGAGATGCCTTTGAAGTATTACTCGCCCATGTTGAGATTATCAAGTTAACAATACTCAGGTTAGACGTAGGATGGTAAATCGGTTGATAAGGCTGTAAATTATCACCTATTGAAGTGTCAAGGATATGGGTTACATATGTTAATGCACTACTTTCTTCAACGGGTAATCTTTACTGATGTGGAAATAGGTTGGAAGAAAGCTAAGGATATCCAAACCAAAACGTTGCATCAGTCTATTGAGTCATTGACTGTTGAACTAAGCCATGTTGGTAGGTTCAGAGTGACTTCATAGTTGAGGTTCACACGATTACTGTAACATTTGGTCGGAGGACCTTAGGTAACATGTCTGAGAATCAGTTTGACTGGTGAAGATGTATTCGCTGTTTGTATTCCCTCAGTTTTTGAGTTTTAAGATTATATTATACTTCGTTTAGAACCTGAGTGCAGATATATATATGTCACATTGTAGTTTGATCATGTTGATTCAGTAGGAATAAACAAACACATCTTTATATCCATGATTGATCACTGAGTGGTGTCTAATGTTATATCATACACCTTCACAATCTGACTTATTGCCACAAAACTATTCGGGTAACATCTCTAAGTATAAAGCTAGGCGGAGTGAGTTAGAATCTTACAGAAAGCATCAGCGACCGTCAAAACTGAATGTACATCTTGCTGACGAATTTCATCTAGCAGAAAATCTGGATCAAAGAGAGTTCCCTGCCGATTGACTCCAACCACCTTATAATGTAATAACTAATTTGTGTATAATATTATTTAGACATTCTATTGAATCTGTGTTAATTCATTGATCTTTATTTTTTAGGATACAAAGAAAGGTGATAAAAATACGATTGTTTCATCGTACAATCGTAATTTCACTGGTCGTAATGATGCTAATCCAGCTACACATGCATTTGTTACTTCACCGGAATTAGTCACAGCTTTAGTATTCGGTGGAAGTTTATCATTTAATCCATTGACAGATGAACTAGTTGCAAATGATGGATCAAAATTTAAATTTAAACCACCAACAGGTATGTGTTTGTGTGTGTGTATGGATTTGCATCTTATCGTTGTATTTAGGTGGAGTTACATTCTTTAAGTCTAAATGACTTAATCTTAAGGTCTTCACTACCTTACTTCGTCAGGATAAACTTCAAATAGATGTGGTTTGCCTAAAGTTTCATGATTAAACCATCCAGTTCGTTGCTATAATGAACTGATTAGTAGGAATGTTGTAACTTTTGGAATTATTTTACAGATTATTACTATTTATAGTCTTGTTACAGAATTGTTATTGCGCTTCTATATTCCCTACATTGTGAGTTTCTGTCGGGACCTACTAACTATTGTTATACTTTTTATTGTTACCTAATCGATTGTTCATTAATTATGCACTTTTTATCCAGTTCTCTGTCACTCATAGCATGATAATGTGTAAAGAATACTCTCTTGTTTTGATCCATGTTATGTAATCTAATAATTAATGTTTACTAACTAGTGAGTGTTTGAGACAACAGCACTGGGTGCCCGAAATATAAGTAATAAAAGCTTGTCTACTGTGTTCTCGTGTTCGAACTCATGACTAGAAATAGAAGAAAGTTTACATATCAGTAGACCAATATGAGTTAATGTTATTTCGACCTCAGTTGCAGTCTTTCATTGTTCAAAGCATAAGATGCTAGTCTATAAACGAAATAGTACACTCAAGGCAGATAAATATGACAGAATTCTAATTGGCGAATTTCCTCGCTAGATATTGATCAACTTATCGTTATAACACGCAGAAAATGCAGTTCCGTCAAAATCGTCCACCTGAGCTACAAGGCATCTCAACCGTCGTTTTATTAGCTTATTCTCCAGTGTATTTTATTTCCCCATAAAATCTCAGTATTAATTAGTTTATCTTATTGTAAGTTCTTGGCTGACAATTGCTTAAGAGGATTTCTTAAAGAAGGCGCAGCATGTCTACAGTACTTCTTGGTTTATTATTTGTATCACATGGTTACTCCTTTCCACTGGGTGTACACACACATGCAATACATTTCAACGACCGGTTTAACTATGAAATTATCTAGGTGAATAAATCATTCGATATATGTTATATCTTTCATGGTATTTAATCCTAACAAATTGTTTAAATAATATTTGATGCTATTTTCTATTCAAAAAGTGCTTTCCAATTTTAAAATACCATCTGATTATGATGTAGTAGTATAGTAGGACCCAGAAAATATATTTATTATATTTATAGGTATTCACGATTGAAAATCAAGTGATTTAATCACAGTGTCTCAGACATTCGCTTATCAAGTTTGTACTCTGTCCTATTAACTTCGGCTTGTACAGCTAAGCAGTGTATGATTATTACAAGTATATGAATATGTTCATAGCTTAATGAAGAATACTCGTTTACCAGGCATAGATTCGTGTACTTGCCTTCAAGCTACACTGAACGTGGTGGCCAGTAACACTACCCGGTCACCTAAATCGAAGTAGATTTTGTTTTAACTTCAAATCTACCATATGGTTATTGTAATTTTATTATCTCACTATTAAAAATCAGGCGATACACTACCGAAGAAAGGTTTTGATCCTGGTCAAGATACATATCAACCACCGGTGACAGATACTTCCAAAATCACAGTTAAAGTTGATCCGTCAAGTCAACGTTTACAATTACTTAGTCCATTTAAGAAATGGGATGGTAAAGATTTAACTGAAATGCCAATATTAATTAAAATTAAAGGAAAATGTACTACAGATCATATTTCAGCTGCTGGGCAATGGTTAAAATATCGAGGCCATTTGGATAATATTTCAAATAATTTGTTCATTGGGTAAGGATTTTGTGCAAACTATGCCACTGAATCAGTATTAATATTTATTTTTAAGACACTTGTTTGTTAGACACCAATCTTTGAATTATTGGCTTGAAAGTAATCGCTCAGCCAAGATTACAACTACCAGTGGTATCTACTTAACATCAGGCTATCAACACAGTAAACATCAATAAACAGTGTGACTAGCTGAAGCCAACGCCTTTTTATGGAAAGGTTTGATCCTAAATTAATTTAGAGGTAGAACGCTGTTAAAGCAACGTATGATGGATGTTTTCGCCTCCCGGCTACACATACGATGAAAGGATACTTCTTAAGGTATCTAAAGAAGAAACTGGGTTAGGGTTAGTATTATAGACGTGGTAGCTTTACATGCGAGCCCAAGGGACAATTGTGTGGGTTTGATCACGTGTATCCTATTCCTGAGTGGTTTTTGATATGTTGATTGTGTACTTTTGAGTCCTTACTGCAAGAGATGAAAATCTGTGTGACAAATTTTGGTGTTGTACCGGTATATATGTATGTTAGATAAACAAATAAAATGAGTTTGTAGGTATCAGTGCCAAGATTGGACTTAATATTTTCAAATAAATTGGGCATCAGGGAGAAAGTAAATAATGAATATGCTATCTTTGATATCCCAGTGAGTAGAAAATTTTGTTTCTGACGCTTCCTGCTTGAATATCTGGGCTACCTGTTTCTGCCATCTGATTATTTCAACAAGTTATCTGTTTTTCATTTGTTTTAATTAATAATTATGTCCATTAAATCGCATAACCTATTCAGGCGCTTTTATGAAAAGCCTACGACCTTTCGCTGCGTTAAAGAGAATGAACATTAATCGTATGTCAATTCCCGAGCTACTAAATTCTAACTGCCGATCACTAATCAACAAAGTAGACCATCTGCAATTCCTATTTAGTCAAAATACATATCGTAATTGTGGTGTCATCACAATTCAAGAATCTTGGTTGAATGATTTACAGGATGACTGCCTTGTATCACTACGTGATTTTAAAATTTATCGTCAGGATCGATCGAACAATAAAAAGAGGTGTGGTGGCGGTGTAGCTACGTTTGTAAACATAAACTGGTGTCGATCTTCGTTTGTGTGTTTTAAGTTTTCAAATGACTTTATCGACTGTCTAACTCTAAGATGTCGTCCAAAACATCTGAATAAATACAAATATGTTTATGTTACCAATATCTACGTGACTCCAGATTGCACATCATCTGCACTATCTGTTTTTGCTGATGAATTCACTGAGTTCGCTGTTACTGCCTTCAGTGATTCACTTTCAATTGTATGTGGTGATTTCAATTCATGTGACTGTAGCTTCCTTACGTCACTAGGTTACCAAAATGTAGTGGATTTTCCTACCCTCCTGGATGCTCATCTAGACTTCGTCTTCATTAATGATGTGGGTATATATGCGACTCGTAAACGTGCTTCATTGTCTAGCTCAGATCACTGTATAATTCGTGTTCTACCTAAAGTATATGGAAAGCATGGGAAGAGTACACTCTCACGTCAAACCAGGAAAGTCAAATATAGGAATTACTCCGAAGAAAATATCCGAAATCTAAAAAACATGTTTCATACGACTAACTGGGAATTATTTACAGATGTCTCACTCGAAAACACTACTGAAGTTATCACTTGTTACCTTGAATTCTGTTTTGATATTTGTTGCCCCACTGAAACCATTTTTGTAAGTTTTGATCGACTTACATCTTCACAACTAAAACGACTACGGAGGATGAAAGAAAGAATGTACAAGGAGAAGAACTCTAATGGAGTTCGTAAGCTAAATGGTCTGATAAACCTAGAGATTAGACGTCTCAACTGTATGTTTACTCAAAAACTCTTATCTTGCAAAAACTCTCCAAGTATGTGGAAATTCTTTAAAGAACTTACAGGTGACAGAAAGTTTAGAAGCGATAACCAGCTGAATGTTTGTGACTTAAATAAGTCTTTTGTACGTCAGTCATCTGATGTGATGCTCCCTCTATCCACGGGTTTAAAAAATAGCTGTGTTCCTACTTTCACTAAAACTGATGTACGAGGATGTCTCCAGTCTCTTAATTCATCTCGATGTTTGGGACCTGATGGTATCCCAAACATCCTTTTTAAAAAATGTGCTGACGTTCTGTGTCATCCATTCACAACTATATTTAACAGATCCTTTTCATCTAATCTCATACCGAAAATGTAGAGAAAGATGAAGATAATTCCTGTACCCAATAAAGCATTTGGTGATAAGAATGTAAAATTTAGACCTATTGCAATAACTTCACCCTTCCTCAAAACCATGGAAAAATTATTAATACTTCCACTTCAGCCTGCGATAAAAGAGCATACTGACCCATACCAGTTTGCATACAGGCGCAAAAGAAGCGCTTTAGATGCTGTTGCAGTTCTGCATCACAACATAGTGTTCAACTTAGAAAAGGGTAGTAAGTATGTTCGATGTGCTTTTCTGGACTATACTTCAGCTTTTGACTCTATACCAAGACAACGTTTACTTAACAAGTTAATCAGCGTCAACACTGACAGCTGGATAACCAACTGGCTATGTTCCTACCTCTCTGGAAGGGAACAGTACACTGTGTTTGGAGGAAAGAGTTCAGAGTCTCTACTGTCTCATAAAGGTGTACCACAAGGAGCTGTTCTTTCACCTCTTCTATTCTCCTTTTTTCTGCATGACCTGCCATCTTCCACAGAAAACACTTTTGTGAAGTATGCGGATGATCTCACTGTATGTATGCCTATATCTTCCTCTTTACATCCCATAGAAATGAATGAGTTTTTGTCTCGTATTGATTGTTGGTCTGTTGGTAATGGTCTCATACTTAATCCGTCTAAATGTCAAGCTGTTAACTTTAGCATGAGACATAAACGGAATCTAAACATCATTTTGAGATCCCATAGTGCTTGTACCATCGGAGACTCTTTGATAAACTCAGTGTCGAAGGTCAATTATCTTGGTGTCACCTTTTCCTCTGATCTGTCTTGGTCTTCCCACGTTTTATCGTTATCGAAGAAGGTTTTCCGTCTGACCTACTACATAAAGAGATTGCATGCTCTTGGAATTACTCGTCATTTACTCTTACAATTTGTCAATTCTTGCATATTACCTATTATTCTTTACTGTTCTCCATTCTTTCCCGGGCTTTTGAGAAAAGACTGCTGTATTGCGAAGAGTGCTGAAGGCAGTTAGCAAGGTGTGTGGTGAATCTTTCGAGGTCATAATTAATATGGTTGTGGATAGACATTTAAAATCATGCAAACTCCTGGCAGGTGTCATTTTATCAGATACTAGCCATCCCCTTCACTCTTATCTTTCTCCTTGTATATCTTCTGGTAGAACGAGACGTAATTACATTAAAATCCAAGCACGCAAGGAAAAGTATAAAAGTTCTATAATACCTTACCTAGCAAATACAGTTTGTGACGAACAGATTGTTAGAATTAACCTAGTCAATAACTTACATTCTTAACATGTCTTCAATTTTAAAAAAGTTTGTACAGTTTTTTTGGGGTTTTTTTTATTTATTTTTTATTATTTTTAAAAACCTTTTTTTTATTTCTTTTTGTATTTGCTACTGCCTTTTTGTTCGTTGTTCAGTAAGTAACTTGTTGAAATACCCTGTGCTGAGAATTCTATATTGTACCAAAAAGATAATATTGAATGAAGCCATTAATAATAATAATAATAATAATAATAATAATAATAATAATAATAATAACTTTAAGTCACTTCTTCAGAGTAAATAAATAACCAAAATAAAATTAACACAAATTTAACTAGTACAAAGGAAACAATCCAGAATATTTTTAGTACAATCAAAGTAAAGTGTACGATTTTTAGAACTCCCCTTTTCTAATTCCCTCCTTCATTTATGGGAAGGCACTATCAATCCAGATGCTGGTCGTTTGAGGGAATCACCTCACCACCGTCACATTTCGATACGGCTAACAGTACAGCTTAATCCTTGAACCTTATGTTTACTGCTTTTAGTCGCACCGCTTCAATCGATCTACCCGGTCCGCCAGGACCTAAGTGAACAAGTCTTCTTCCCAATACACCTCAATCCAGGCTATCACGATATGCAAGTCAAGGTAGCAACTACAGTTGAATTAATGGGGTACTTACATTCAGTTCTTCTTGATATTTCTGGTCTGTCTGTGTTCACTGAACTAAAGCAAGAACTTAACTTCAAACATGTAAAGTAATCACTTCATCTTGTTTGCTTTACCTCAACTTGACTGGTAAATCTTTTTGATGATCAGCAAAAGTACACCGCTAATAAATGTCAAAAATAGGATAAAATAGATGTAATAGAGTGTCTTAAACCAAGACGAAACATATATCCAGTACACTTGTTTTCATAATTGTTCTGCGACTCATGTTTGTCATTAAACGGAAATACTTTGGAATTTAAATCTCGTTTCCTATTTGCCTATTGCTCCAATACATAATAACCAAATGATTTGTTTGACCTAAGTGAAAACGGTAACATCGATATTGTTATTATTAATTGACGATCGCACTGAAAGTCACTAGAATAGACAATGACCCAAGTTTATGAAATCCGTGACTGTTATGCAATCACGTCGTAAATCATTGATGTCATTTACTGATTATATGGGGTGTTCTTAAATCAAGTTGTATTGCATTGTTCAAATATTGTTCCACTATCATGATCGACATGATTATTTATAATACGTTTATGTTATTTAATTTGATATTGAAACATTTACACTAGTCAAACAACTTCACAAACACTATTACTCATGATAGCTTTTTATCTAGATTGTATAACACAATTAGGCTTCTTTCATTATTGATTCCTACTATATATCGGCTTATATATAACTTTAGTTTAATTCTGTATATTTCCCCTGTAGAGCTATTAATGAAGAGAATAATGAAATGAATAAAGTATTACATCGTCCATCTGGTCAGTGGGATACTGTTCCAATGGTAGCTAGAAGATATAAAACGGATGGTATCAATTGGTGCGTTATCGGTGATGAGAATTATGGTGAAGGAAGTAGTCGAGAACACGCTGCCCTGGAGCCTAGACATTTAGGTGGTCGTGCAATTATTGTGAAAAGTTTTGCACGTATACATGGTAGGTTTTTGTTTTACGTTAAATTTAATCTGCATTATATTGTTTTGAATTTGAATGAAATATCTAACTGATTGATCACTGGATTGACTGAGTAGTTGTGACCAATTCCCCCATATTTGTTTGGTTCTTTTTAGTGCTGATCAGATTGAAATGTACTGGCCACTAGTTTAAGTGACTCGACATTATATTTACTACGTTGATATGTGTTAGGTGATTACAGATAGTATACAAAAAGCTCTTGTTGACCTAGATCTCCTGCCAGTTTTTACTCGTCAGCAATACATACCTACAGTCTTGAGGGAAGTAATACTTCCTGTGGGGTTTGAGATCACATAGTACAGTTTGGGAGCTTTCTACCAAATACCTCTAACCAGCTAACATTTCGACACTGAATGCATCGATTAGTATTCATTTTTACCGTAAAATTGTGGAAATAAACTGTCAGAGGTGAATTATTAAGGTGTTTGGAAACTGTTACCTATCATCATTCTGCGTTTGAAGAAGAATTCGCTTTCAATTGAAGTCTCTTCTGTTAATCCCTAATCTTATAGTCCTATTGGAAGTAGGTCAGTCGCAGCCCGAATAACTTGACAGTTAGGTCTCAAATTGTGAAACTGAATGACACGGGTTCAAATCCTACAAAGGGTGTCAGTCCCGTTGAGATTTCATGTACGCTTTGCTGAAGAATTTCAACACAAGGTTTCCTGCCGACTCCCTCTGACTACCTAACATGTCAATACTCTTCTCATTCCCTTTTACAATACTTGGATTGATATAAGATGGTGTTAGCGTCTATGCCGGCTCAGTGGTCTAGTTGGTTAAGCACCTGGCGCGAGACCGATAGGTCCTGGGTTCGAATCTCGCAGGAAGCGAGATCATGGATGCGCACTGCTGAAGAGTCCCATACTAGAACGAAACGGCCGTCCAGTGCTTCCAGGTTTCCAACGGTGGTCTAACATCAATTGATTCATGATCTCAATCAAAAAAATTAATAAACAGTTTGCATAAATACAGTTTCACTGTTATGTTTCAACTTCACTTGAGTTGTTAAGTATGTAATGGATAGTATTCATTGAAACTCGCTACCTTATTTTTTTCATCTTTCAATAAAATGGTTTTTTTTCTGGACAGTAGAGTAATTCCAATCTACTGTTTGTTTTTTCAAAAAATGAAACATGTACAAGCTACTTATAAGTAGGTTATATGAACCAGGTTAATAATAATCATAATCATGATTATGTGAAATTTCATATTTCCTTATTGTTCCCACCGATCACTAATACAAAGTGCAGAATTTCCGAAAAATAACTACAATAATGGGTCACATTTACTCTAAGATCATGGATAATATTCATAGTTTTCATCATAAATTGATATTAGTTAGAAAAACACTGGAAACCGGGGAGCACTAGACAACTGTTCTCGTCGTTCTCAGTATAGAATTTTATTCAGCAAGACATATTTATGACTCTCACCTTTCACCACTGGGGTAGGGACAGAGAACCTAGGACTTTGGTCTCTTGCGCTTATACAGACACTTAGCCTCTAGACCATAATGTAGATTAGAGAAGAAATTCAACTTTCTTCGCATGGATAATAGTTTACAAGATTTCACTTTTTCTCTATCTGTTATTTTTATTATTTAGAGACAAATTTGAAAAAACAAGGAATGCTTCCATTGACATTTGCAAACCCATCAGATTATGATAAAATTAAACCGTCAGATAAAATTTCCCTGTTAGATTTGAAAAATCTTCAACCTGGCAAAGTGAGTGAAAAGAATATCATTATTATTTTCTTTATATATATATATATATATATATATATATATATATATATATATATATATATATATATAGACTGATGCATACATACTTACAACCTCATTCCTACAATTGAAGAACATATGGAACTCAAAACGACTGCCAACCATTATCAAAGTCAGAATCTTTAATACGAACGTCAAGACAGTTCTACCGTATGGAAATGAAATGTGGAGAACTATTACAACCATCATCAAGAAGGTACAAGTATTTATAAACAGTTGTCTAAAAAATATACTGAATGTCCGTTGACCGGATGCTATCAGCAACAACCTTCTGTGGGAGAGAACAAACCAGTTTCGAACTGAAGAGGAAATAAGGAAAAGACATTGGAATTGGATAGGACATACATTATGGAAATCACCGAACTGCAGCACTAACTTGGAATTCTGAAGGAAAACGGAAAAGAGGAAGGCCAAAGAACACACTGCGCTTGGAATTGGAAGCAGACATGAAAAGGATGAATAGTAACTGGAAAGGAATGCCCAGGACAAGGTTGGGTGGAGAATGCTCATGGGTGGCCTATGCTCCTCGACAAGGGTTAACAGGCGTAAGTAAGTAATATACAATCCGTTGTATATAATGCAAAAAGATAAATCGAACGCCGTAAATTTTCCTGACGTTGTGGAAAATAAGTTGGAATTCGTAAATATTCTGAATTGTAAAACTTCAGTTAGTTTAAAATATTGTGTGACTATTATTAAATATCCTTCGTAACTGAGATCTCCATAATCATAGATAATAATGAAAGCTTATCAATCATGAATACTCTGCTGAAGTTTGATCTATTCATTTAGAAGTGTAAAAATATAGTTTAGATGAATGGTTTGTCAATTAGTCACTGATATATGTGTTAGCCCAAGTTCCTATATCATATCAGTACAATGATTTACAATTTACAAGATGAATTGAAAACGGAATTTGGAATAATCATAGTAATAACTATAGTGAGAGCGATCAAAGGTAGAGACAGAATGACAAAATACGTATCAAAAAGTATTGTAGGTTAAAATCGGATTGAAATAAGGAGTGATTGGTTCTGTTCTCTCTGCAACCAATTGTTTGCTAAATGTTTTCAAATTGAAATTTTTTGAAATTTGTTCCATTTAAGGGTAGTTTTACTAACAGATTAACATCAACTGTTGAAAATCTAGAGGCATTCAACTTCTCGATAGTTTCATACTCACATCACTAATCAAGCTGATTATAACTGTTACGTCCTGCGGTCATCTGATTCCACTTACTGAAATACTCTGCTTATTCTCTAGCCCAACTAATTACTTGAGTGAGAAAACCAAGAATGAACAACAAGCTTTTATTGGTCTACTGAATCCAGAATATTTGCACGACTCATTCATAGATATATATCATTCTCTCTCTCTCAGAAAGTCAAACCAGATTGTTAACCAGTAGCGTATATGTTTATTTCTTCAGAAAGTTTAAACAAATATTAATCTATCACTTCTCATTTGGTCTACGTCTGATCGACCCAGTTTATCAATAACACATACAGTACATTCGATGAATCTTTTCATGACCAAAAATTCACATTGTTTTAATTTTGAATGATGGTTCAAATGAATTTAACTTTACTTTATAACTCGGAGTATAAATGTAATTATTAATTACATGTATTTTTAATACTCACACATGCGATAATTTCTTTTAGCCTGTTCGTTGTGTAATCCACCATAAAAATGGTAAAACTGAAGAAGTTCAATTATTGCATACATTTAATGAGAATCAAATTGAATGGTTCAAAGCTGGAAGTGCTTTAAATCGAATGCGTGAATTAGTCAGTAAACAACATTAAATTCTGTTTATCATATAACGTCTTATACTTACTACCTTCCTTTTGAGATAGTTGCTAACCAATTTTTTTAAAAATTTGTTTAGTTTCTTTGTTTATTCTTCTTGAATGAACTTCCTTTTCATTCAACTCATACATTTCTATTTCTATGCTGTTTTGTAGTCATATATATATCAGTTAGCTATGCAATTTAGTAATCTACAAATTACGCATTTTCACATTAATTTATTCCCTCCCAAACTATCCCCCACTTTCTCCCTCCATATTGTTTTGCATTAGTAGAGTTTGTAATCAGTCACTTGTCATTTCAGAGTTTAAAATAGTCTTGATACTATTTACATATATGTATTGATTGTTAGTTTGCATTTTCTCAAACATACGTGCATGGATCCATACAAACAAGCGTACACATGGTGACCTATGAAAATGGAACTACTTGTGCAACGTATCGTTTTTTTTCTCTGTTTTTTTATAGACAGTGAATATTTGTATTCATTGTTTAAAATAAACAACTTGAGCTTTTGTGAATAAAATGTTACATATGATTAACGGGAATGGTTTTGGAGAAGTAAATTACTCAATCCTTTTTTTAATTGTTATATCTTGTGGCATTGTGCCCCTATCAATGTGATTGAATGATACCGCCAATTACAGAAGAGTGATTTATCGACCGGAGCAGGGACGCGTAAACGCTTACGATGAATCTAGTGTTCTTATCGATCCTTCTTCCTGCCTAGCTCTGCCTGTTGAGTCCAGAACACCATTCTCAGCTTCTGCTATATGAATCATATATTTCAAACATACTGGGTTTATATACAAACCAAAAAGAGTACATCGTACCATAAAATAGAAAATAACATTTGTACATGATCTAACCAAAAGTGGCTGTGAATGTGAGAGACTGTAATTAATGGAAGAACATGAATATGCATAGTTTAGCTACTTAACAGTAATACAGTAAAAATTTAGGTATCGTATTTTTCCATAAATAGTTCTAAAAAGTTACCATTCATAATTCTCGTCAGGATATAGCACATACCTTTCCATTCTGTCTTTTCAAACCATATTCTCAAGTTTCAGTTCTTTTTATCTGTGCTACTACATTATTTCGATATTCTTTGTTATTTGCATATCGTCGTGTTGATCTGTTATGGTAACTTGAGTCGACGCATATCTAAGTCAGGCTCGGTTTTGATCATGTCTATCTGTCTATTCTATGATAAAAGTACCTTTAAATAAAACATACACCTACAAAAGTCATCTAATTTTTCGCTTGTATATGCATACTGGTTAACATCGATTTTGGAATACGGTGTATCTTATTGGTTCAAATTAAACTGAATCAAAACGTTCGTGAAAATAATTTCCAATTTTTATAGATCTTAAGTAAAGATCCGATTATTTTTAGACCACCATTGAAAACTAGGAAGCTCTGGGTGGCCGTTCCATGGTAGTATGGGACTCCTCAACAACTCGTATCCACTCCCAAGCACCTGTAAATCTAACCCAGCAGCTTCGGTCTCGTATGAGAAACCAGAACCTCTAGACCACTGAACTGGCACCCAATGGTTATTAATGTACAACTCCAATAAATTCAAGATATTGCGTGACCATCTCCTATTGTCTGCCGTAGTTACCTGTCTCACATCCAACATGTTGGAACTCTATTGGTCACCGCTTCTGTAGGAATTGAATCTAAGGATTGCCCCGACCTAGAATTTAGATATTTTCTTAGTCTTAAAGAAATAAGTATTACAAATCAAATTAAATGGAAAATTAGACCATTGAATTGCAGTTTACTGAACTAAACATTAGGTGCACTTTAGAATGGTTGGGCTCTATCTCGAAATGAGGTCATCGCTGAGCACTACTGGAAATTCAGAAACTAGGACAAAATAGCTGTCCAGTAGCCCAAGTTTTTCCAACTGATATCAATCCACCACGAAAAGCGCTAACATATACACAAACTAAATTCACTTGATATTGTTTGTTTGTATCTTCCCATTGTTATTTCGAACTGCAATTGATCAGTCTATTGTTGGAATTTGTGCCCTGGATTCCACTGCTAGCCACTATCCACCTTTGATTACATAGAGACTAGTTAAAAATGATTTTGCACAAAACGAGATTAGGAGGAAATATTACATCTATTCTATTCTAAGAGTTTTCTCATCGATTTTGAAGTGTTAGGTTTTACATTGAACGAAAACTTGGCATAGTTTAACTGCTGAAATTAAAACAAAACGTGCGAAACACAAAAATTGACATGACATACATACATATGAAATTTGAAATCACGAGTTTTAAGTCTTAAAACAGAACTTTATCCACAGCACAAATTTTTACAAGCAACAAATGGTCGGTCATTTTTACCAAATTTACTTCTGTCTATTACTTCAGTTTACTTTTGCATTACAAAAGAATGCAAATTTACCGAAAAGAAAGTTTATATAATTAGTAATTAAACAGTATTTTAATTGATGAAAAATTCCCATTATTATTAAAAACACAATTGTATGAGCGAAGAATATTCTTTTCAATGAATTCCTCATCACGTTCTACAATTATAAATCCAAATTAATAATCCATAAAATTGGCCAGATCTAAGGCGAAATACATCATCATTTGGAAATTGTAATATGTGAATCAGGAAATGTTTGTTATATAAATAAAATTGTTAATGTTGCGGCTGACTAATATAAAGTGTTAACTTGAATCAGTTTATAAGTGAAATGAAATTGTGAGATAAATTATCAGAATAAATATAGTCAACATGGGGTAAGAGAGAGAGAGAGAGAGAGAATATTAAGATTACAAATCGGAAATTGCGTAATATGTAAAATAATTAGGTCAAATATAGTAGATTCAGGGGTGGATATTGAATAAATTCCTCAAAAAGGGGTTATCAAGTGTAAAGACAATAGTAATAATAATAATAAGTTTGGGACATAAAATGAACATTAATCAGATTACGTCACCACATTATAAGATTGATTATTAGCTAGTTGGCCAGGGTAAAAGGAGTGGCTGAACATACTTCTTTTGGATACAACGCTCTGGCTTTTTGATCCGAATAACAATTGCTTCAGCCGTCTGTAGGATTCGCAGTCTGACGGAATTAGGTAGACTGCTGTTGACACGATAAACTATTGCAAAAGATTGTTCCATGTTGGCTGTATGTCCTGTTTGGACTAAATGGTCTAAGATGGAGCTGTTAACAGTTTTGACAACACCTTTGCTTAACCACACGGGTAGGTGCTCACGAGCTCGAATGTACAAATTCCTAGAACATCTGCCAATATAACTTGCTCCACAGGAGCAGTTGAGTTGATAGATACAGAAGGAGTTGGCTGGTCTAGGTAATTTATCTTTCAACCTCGGAATGATTATTGGTCATGTGGAAAATAGTAGTTGTAGTGTAGCTGGGTTTAAAATTCTTTTGAATTGATCTACTTAACTTAAGTCTTAACATTTCACTCGGCGCGTCGCCTCTGAATTGTAAGCGTATATATAAAGGCTTTCTATTTACCGTTGGACATTCTCTACGCTGTCTTTTATTGGCTAAGTTTTTATTTATATATTTCTCTGGATATCCATTATCTTTCAGAGTTGTAAACAATGTCTTTGTTTCATCTTCAGTCGTATCCATAGTCCATATAGTCTTGATTCTATGATGTAGTGTCTTGATAAGGTTGCTTTTTTGTTGTAGAGCAACAAAACTGAAAAAGTTAGTATATTTACCCGTCCAGGTCATTTTCCTGTTTATGTTTCTTCTTAGCGATCCATCTTTTCTCCTTGTAAGCAAAACATCTAGGAAGGCTATTTTACCCCCATTTTCTTTCTCACATGTGAATTTTATGTACGGGTGAGCTGTATTGAATTGCTCGAGTGTTCTTATCAAGTCCGTAGGGGAATTTGTACATTCGAGCTCGTGAGCACCTACCCGTGTGGTTAAGCAAAGGTGTTGTCAAAACTGTTAACAGCTCCATCTTAGACCATTTAGTCCAAACAGGACATACAGCCAACATGGAACAATCTTTTGCAATAGTTTATCGTGTCAACAGCAGTCTACCTAATTCCGTCAGACTGCGAATCCTACAGACGGCTGAAGCAATTGTTATTCGGATCAAAAAGCCAGAGCGTTGTATCCAAAAGAAGTATGTTCAGCCACTCCTTTTACCCTGGCCAACTAGCTAATAATCAATCTTATAATGTGGTGACGTAATCTGATTAATGTTCATTTTATGTCCCAAACTTATTATTATTATTACTATTGTCTTTACACTTGATAACCCCTTTTTGAGGAATTTATTCAATATCCACCCCTGAATCTACTATATTTGACCTAATTATTTTACATATTACGCAATTTCCGATTTGTAATCTTAATATTCTCTCTCTCTCTCTCTCTTACCCCATGTTGACTATATTTATTCTGATAATTTATCTCACAATTTCATTTCACTTATAAACTGATTCAAGTTAACACTTTATATTAGTCAGCCGCAACATTAACAATTTTATTTATATAACAAACATTTCCTGATTCACATATTACAATTTCCAAATGATGATGTATTTCGCCTTAGATCTGGCCAATTTTATGGATTATTAATTTGGATTTATAATTGTAGAACGTGATGAGGAATTCATTGAAAAGAATATTCTTCGCTCATACAATTGTGTTTTTAAACAGTATTTTTCAACTCGACAAGGATAGGATTCTAACCCACGTGGGGAAACTCTTTTTGGTGCCCAGTATCTGACCCCAGTTTGATTGTACGAATAATGTTATCGAAATATACTTCTCAGATAACCTCATACAGATTGATAAACTTAATTCACCTTAGAGAAGAATAGGGTAAAATAAGTTAAGTATGAAAATGAATTTCGAATACGTTTATTTCGTAAACTCGTTCACTTGGTCGAAATGAAAAGCAAGTAGTCAAAGCCAAGTGGAGAAGAAGATTGAGCTAACTCGATTTTACCATGCTTGATTGGGCATTTATAATCAGACAAAAACAATTTACAGACATGTAATGAATGGGATAAGCAATGCACATGCATACGCTCATTTAAAGATAGTCAAGGTTAATAAGCGAATAATTGATGAAGTAAAAATGTAGCTCAAAAAGAAGGAATGAATCGGTCTGTCCGGAAGCTAGAATAACCTTTGTGGGCTTGGCATAGTATCAGACCCTACACCCTATTGGATTAGCAGTCTGTCGCCTTGACTATGAATTATAACTACTTAAACTAGTAATTAAGTAGTAGAAAATTCATACTGCTAGTTTTTTTAAAATATACATATGTATATGAACATAGTTATTTGAAGATAGACGTACAAAACACAAAAGGAGGAGAGGAAACACTTATCTAGAGTTTGAAAATTGTTATGTTGGATTGCGTAGTAATTATAAATTTGAGGCGCCTACATTGAGTGAGTGAAAATTACAGATGAACAAAAAGATAATGTTAAAGTGGATGAAATAACATTTAGCTAAGCGAGGGTTACATAAACAAATATAGACAATAATAATTAAAGAAAACTTAGTCAAAATCCTGAACTTGCCATAGTAGTGATAAATTGATACTTTGTAAATTAGTGATTGGAGGTAGTTGACAGGAGACTTTAAACCGAAAAGCTCAAAACCCAGGTTCAGGGCGTCCTGTCGACAATTTTCAACTGGCATCTCACATTTCAATATAGTCCAGTCTATGCTGAGTCAGTTAAACTAGTGGCCATATTTCAACCTGATCGATAGAATTTGATCAGCACTAAAGAATGACTTGGGATACATGACATTCATCAACAATCAGTGTTTAGTCAATTGTAAATAAAATCTCCACAAAACCCCTTCTGATAATAATCATCTGCTCACTAGTGACTGACTTCAAGAGACACTCCTGGAGTTCTAATGAGAAGCCGTGATCAGTGGAGTTCAACCAGGTCTGTTGTGAGATATCAGCTCACTGAAGACGATGCTGTACGGTGGCGCAACTTCGTGGATTGGTTGAAGTTAGACATTAACATCGTTGGATGCCGGCTCAGTGGTCTAGTGGTTAAGTGCTCGCACGCGAAACTGATAGGTCCTGTGTTCGAATTTCGAGGGGGGTGGGATCGTGGATGCGTACTGCTGAGGAGTCCCATACTAGGACGAAAAAACCACCCACTTCTTCCAGGTTTTCCCTGGTGGTCTAGCTTCAACGGACTCATGATTTCAATTAGTGAAATTGTAAATAAATTGACACA